GTGCAACCACATGGAACTCAGACGTACATACTATCAGTGCAACCACACGAAACTCAGACTGACATACAATCAGTGCAACCACATGGAACTCAGAGATACAATGTACATATAATAGAACAAGCAGAATAGATGTAGACAACATTCTAAATGAGTGATTAAACGAAGGGGTTAGTTCAATGAAAGTAATGGCCCAAATTTGGCATATGCAATACTCAGACTCAGTTGATCCAGATTAATGCCTGAAATGACTCAGAAATGACCCAAATTCCACTGAGATGATCTAGTTTAAGCTCAAATATGATCCAGATTCAGCTGAGATGATCCAGATTTAGCTAGATGATCCAGATTCAGCTCAGAGCTGATCCAGATTCAGCTGAAGATGATCCAGATTTAGTTAGATGATCCAGATTCAGCTCAGAGCTGATCCAGATTCAGCACAAGATGATCCAGATTCAGCGGCTCAGAGCTCCAGATTCAACAAGGAGCAGATCCAGATTCAGTTCAGAGATAGTCTAGCATGAGTAGTTAGTCAGAATAAAGTAAGCAGAAATTATAAAAATGGAAGAAAATGGAAAAAATAAAAAAAAATGTTTGAAAGACAGCATCTTACCAAAGTATGATCAGTTAGAAATGTACTTATGTAATAGGTTGAGATATCGGCGTCAGCAAGGGGTTGTGAAACTTGCGCTACGATGCCACACTCATCTGAACAAATAAAACAGAAATCATAATCACCACCCTTGTATGTCAGAGCAGAACATACCCCTTAAAGCAAAAATGGTATATTCCATCAGGGTTGCACAGGCAATGAGATGGAATATACCATTAAAGCTCAGAAGTATGTGTAACATCAAAAGGGAGAGGGTTGGTCCTTACCAAAGTATATCCTTTTGTAAATGTACTGATATAGTACGTGAAATAACCACCTTCTGAGACTGGTTGAGCAAATTGTGCAACAATTCCACTTTCCACTGGATGTAAAAATGAATAACTGAATGAATATATTACATATCGATAAAGGACACTAAAATATGCAAATTAGCTCATTAAAAATAAACTTCCATGAAACAGATCATTACTGATGGTTTATGTTTAATGCAAAATACAGATCTCCCTCATAATTTTAAGCTATTACACTCGCCACATGAGTCTTTCCAACATACCATACCTTAGGTCGTGGAATATCCAAATATGGAATTCGTGTGGTTACAATTTGAAATGATATAGATAATGCACATCACGTGCTCATGCTCACATTGGGCACCCAAAGTATTTATTGTAGGCATTCTTATTTTAATTATTTCCATAATTGTATGCATGGAATTTGATTGAAGAGCTATAATAATAATAATACTAATAATACTACTGAGAATACTGAAATGAACTTTCACAACGCAGAGATGGACACGGTTAACTAACATTGTGATATTCATACAAATACTGTAAAATATTTCATTTTAGCTGGAATTAATTTTTGCTGAAAAGACTTTATGGGTGTTTTGTAAGGTATCACTGATTTATGATGAGTTGAATGTAATATATAGAAAAAAAGGTATATTCACTGGATTTTATTTTCATTGAATGCGTTTAGCGAAAATAGCTAAAATTAATACCAAGTGAAAATAAAGTATTTTACAGTATGCAACACCACATTAGTCACATGAATGGTAGGACTGAATCCTGATATACAGGTATAACACATAGTAACATTCATAATGTGATAAAATCATCATGTTTGCGTCAGTTTTCCGTTTGTTATATCTACCAAGTGAATTTAAATCTCACCAAATCCAAGCGGTGTGGCACCGATTCTAACCATTTTCCAACATTCACCAGCTGTGCTACCAAACAGAGAATGAGGCGGGAATCTGTGATTAGAGAAAAAATTATCAATATTTTCTTTGCTTGTAGTAATATTAATTAAATGAGAGATAACAGCCCAAAATAGCAATGAGAAACATTTCTCACTGTGTAATCATTTCTCACTGTGTAATCATTTCTCACTGTGTAATCATTTCTCACTGTGTAAACATTTCTCACTGTGTAATCATTTCTCACTGTGTAATCATTTCTCACTGTGTAATCATTTCTCACTGTGTAATCATTTCTCACTGTGTAATCATTTCTCACTGTGTAATCATTTCCATCACTCGATGATAGTGCTTCAGAGTTTAAACAAAGGAAAGTATTTAAGTGTGACGTAAATGTGACGCACAATTTCTAAATAAGAATGACAATTCAAATGTGTCCATAATACTTTCAAAAACGTCTGTAATCATTTCACAGATGAATAAATTTTAATGTTTTCTGCGTCAGATATATAATAACAGTCACAGTAAATATATTATGTCTTTCTGGCTTCTCTAAGTTGCTGATGTCTGAACTTAGTACATCAATTTCTCATCAAACATAATAAGCATATCAAGTAATTAAAAAGCGCATAAATATGAAAACAAGCAGCCTATCGGCTGAGATAGCTCCGCTGTTAGCAATGCACATTTCAATTAAAGAACTGAAGACATCATTAGAAAATGAACAATATGAATAGTATCAAAGCAATCGGACTTACAGTTTTTAACAAGAAGTCGAAAATATCACTTTTTACCAAAAATTACAAAAATATTCACCAAAATAAATTAATTAGAGAATTGAAGACATCATCACAAAACGAACAAATCTGAGAGAGGTCCACATGTAGTACCTATATATGTAATATCAAAGCAATCGGACTTACAGTTTTCAACAAGAAGTTGAAAATATCACTTTTTACCAAAAATGACAAAAA